AACTCTGCGCTCACTTTTTATTGCTTTTAGTGGGGAATCCTGCCAACGGTTTCTGTTTTTTGTTTTCACACAATCTTGTTTTTATAGGTAAATGTTCCGCTTTCTGTCTGTGATCCATGCTGGCTGCTGAAATGAGATGAATTTGCTGTTTACGCATCATTTGTGCTTTTGATGGCTTATCTTTACAATGAGACATGCAACATATTTGCGTCAAAGGTTTTATGGAGTCTGTCATGGTTCAGAGCAGCTGCACCTATATCTCCCCTCGGGGGTTCAGCAAGGGTACCCACTCTCAGGTTTCCATTTCCCCAACTGTTGCCTCTTTGGGGTGTGAACTGGTGACCTGCATCTCTCTCCTGACCTGGGTGTTTCTGGGCTATACAGCTCCCTGCCTTCACTATATATTTCCCAGCAGACAGTCTGCCTAAACAGACCTGATTGCTTTCTCCTCTGAGATTGATAACAGAGTGATCACTACAGATATGTTACCACACAGTTTCCTATGCAAGCCTACTTTATTTTTGAGGTAAAAACACTACAGAGAGAACCTATTAAAAACAATGAAAGAACCTACACGCATGCTAATAAGCTTACCAGAGTCCATCCCAACTCTTCATAGGCTCTGGCAAGAGCGGTCTTTCAACACCCCACCTTAGGGATTTCTTTGTGGTTACAAGTTCATCAGAGCTTCAGTTCAGAACAAGCACCCAGTCTTACGAGGCCTAAGTGGGCCAAGTCCTTCCAGTTCTCCCCTAAGAATTGGGGCCCCCTGTAGCTCAGGAGTCCTGTCTGTTTGCTGGGTCAGGAAGAAGGCCCCCAGTCAGCCTAAACTTGGGCTTTTTATCCAAAAGTCTTTCCTCCCGTCTGTGGGTCTATGGAGGATCCAGTTTGAACTAGTATATGCATATTTCCTGGGGATGGTGGGGGCTCAAAGGCTGATAACTGAGGAAGTTCATTAGCATCCCCCTCCCTACTAGTGAAGGTACATGCAGTTCCCCAAAAATACATACACAGTTGCATTTTTAATACAATGTACCCCACAGGTATTAACTTAAGTATTACTGAATTAGGGTTAACTCAAGAAAGCTTAGCTGAATTCCATGAGGTTTGTTCAGTATATTACAAGACATTGTCGGTCACAGAGTCTGTTTCCCCAGACCTTGGAAATAGAGAATAAGTAATTCCCATGACAAGCAGAAATCATGCAATATATACAGAGGATGAACTAATAATTTTTTACCTGCAGTACATACTTGCCTGTTTTGGAGCACAATTAAGTGATGGTGTACTGTACTGCTGTAAGAGTATCTTTGGTACCATGCAGTCTGCTTCTAGAATGTACTCTTCCTTCTCCCTCAAAGAAAGACCTTTCCAAGAACGGTAGTGAGGGAAGAGTGGAGGAAGCACAACTGTGTTCCCATTTTGTCAGTGGGATCCACCTCACCCATTTATTAAGTAATGGACACCATTGTGGTCTGTTTTGACTCATTGGATCCACAGCTGCATCTGATGCCTTGTAATCTCCTCCTTTACCCATGATTAAATTGTGCTCTAGACCAGTAGTTTGGAAACTGTATGGCAACTTCAGTTAAACCTCTAAAATGGAGATTATTAAAGAGTGATTAAAAATAGTACGTTTGGCACAAGTAGCTTCTGTAGTGTCTACTTATTATATTTTATTTTAGGGTATTCCCACTCTTTCTTTTCAACATGCCACAGAGATGTATATCTAGAGGAGTGGTGGAGAAGCTGGGAGTTTTGGCAGCTAGGTAGAGGGCAGTGGTGATTTTTGCCTCTGGGATGTAAGCTGGAATTGTGAGAGATGCACTCCAGCTGGATGGTGGTTCTACAGTGATCAGCAGTGAAATGATTACATGCTGATACTTTAAGGCTATGTCTACACGATCACTTATGTCGGCCAAACTTCTGTCGCTCAGGGGTGTGAAAAAACACCTCTGAGTGACATCAGTTTCACCAGTGTAAACAGTAATGTGCACAGCGCAATGTTGGCAAGAGAGCTTCTCCCACCGTCATAGCTACTGCCGCTCCTTGAGGTGGTTTTATTATGTCGCACAGGCCATATACCAATTTTGGTAATGGATTTTTGAAGAGAACAAATTCTTCATTGAAGTATCTTTCTTGAGGTTTGGCCACTTTGCATAATCATCTCTCTTCTAGGTCTATTTGAATTGTCAAGGCACAGTCCATGGGGAAGGGATGCCCTTCTCTTGTTGACCACCTCAACAGATGTCTAGGACTCAATAGGCCAGAGAGACTGAGGCTACATTTTCACTAACCGCCTGAATCGGCGGGTAGAAATCGATCTCTCAGGGATCGAATTATCGCGTGTTGTCGGAACGCGACAATCGATCCCCGAATCGACGCTTGTACTCCACCAGCGCAGGTAGGAGTAAGCGCCGTCGATGGGGGAGCCGCGGAGGTTGATTTGCCGCCGTCCTCACAGTGGGGTAAGTCGTCTCGGATACATCGAATTCAGCTACGCTATTAGCGTAGCTGAATTTGCGTATCTTAAATCGACATCTTCCCCCTCCCCC